CGCGCATGAGTTGGTGGCAGTGTTTGGCCTGACGGCCGTGTTTGCGTCCCGCATTCGATCAGCATACTTTGCGCCTCATGGTGACGTCTGCGCCCTGATTTCTAGGGCCGCTCCATTGACGCGCCGGGGCCAGGCTATGATTATACCAGCATTGATTACGCACCATCGCTTGCAGCTGCCCGAGATGGGTTAGAATTGCTTGTGCGGAAACGGCAAGACGGCGCCAGCATTGGCATCAAGGCACACCGGGATGGAAGCGTGAGCATAGCTGTAACGTTGTCTATCAAGGACCACCAATGTTGCAGCAAGACTGAGATATTCGGATTGAAACCGCTGTGTTCACTACTTGTGCACGACAGTCTTACTTACGCCACCGGAATGTTAAGCTGACTCCATGTCGCTGCTCAACGGGCACACATGACGAGGCTCCCAAGAAAATTGCGCACAAAGTTGAGTAATTTTGATGGGGTTGAGCACATCCGCCGATGACGGCTGTTTCTTGAAAGGACCGTGAAGTGCAACCAGGCTTGCTCCGCAGCTGACAAGAAACGATTGCTTCAAGCAAACCACTGTATGGCGGTCCCCCTGACCGTAATGTAGAAGCGTTAGGCTGTCGGCAAACGTGTCTACATGTGCAGTTTCATCATTTGGGGGTATACACCACCTGCAATAAAGTGTCAGGGTTTCTGACCCAGGAAAACTGATTCTACGCCATCGGGGCATTCTGTTGGTGTGCCGACAAGGGACGCTGATGCAATTCCCAACCAGAAATGTTTTCAAGCGTGGACGCGTCAGCGGCGCATTCCGGCACGCGTTTTGAAGGTTCTTGTGAGAGCCCTTGAAGGTTCTCATAAGAATATTTACTTAAATGTGGACGCGTGGGAAGTGCTTAAGCGCCAGTCTGCAACGCACTGAAGTTTTGCGTCAAGCAATTGCAGCGCTAATGACGGAGGCGTCGAACCCCATTTTTAGGTGCCGCACGACATAGCCAGGTCGTCCTATGTCCAGCCACACCTTGCTGGACGTCCATAAAAGCACTGCGCGTCCTTAGCTGTGTCTCTCCAATGACTGCGTTTGTTTATGCACTCCCGTCAGGAACTCTGGGCTGCATGTGCAGTCGTGCATGCAAATTTCAGGGATACTTTCACTGAAAACGGAGCCAGTATTTTCTTCCTTCCACAGAGAGGGGAGGATAGCGGGAAAACGAGGTGAGTGTTGTGGCTGCTTAGTCGTTGGCGGCAAAGGAGATAACCAGATCAAGCTTAATTTGCACTTGACATTTATTTATTGCTTGGACTACAATAAATACCGCATGATAGAAGCAACAGAATGACGTCTAATGCAAACTTACATATGGCCTTCAATAAAATACTCCAGAGAGAAGCACTACACAATATTTGTGAAAACTTTTGTGCAATATTTGCTTCACAGAAGTAAATATCAATGTTATTATTCTTATGCCAACTTTATCCAGTAGTACAGAAGTAAATCGATTTATTTTACTCTCAATTCTGTGTAATTGAGGATTTGAAATTTTCTGATTACGCACAATTACGAAAATAATATGCTCGAAACGCACCATTTGCAATAGCGTTAGTGCTCCAGCGGGTCAGTTATATCTTTGCAGTTAATTTGCCTGGAGACATCACACAAGGGCACCCAAGCAGGATTGGAAAGAAGATTGCATCGCTGACAGTCGTAATTTCCGAAGCACCACCCAGCTAAACGAAGCGCAACCAATTATGAAGCAATTACCAACTGATGTGCATCCTTCATGAAAAGGGAAATATGCATCCTGTGAAGGCGAGGCCTTCAAAATGTTACCTCCGTTCCACAAGTCTTGTCCGTTGTCCAATCTTGCCATAGCTGTGCAAGATCAACTCAATTGGTAAATTCGTCATCAGATTCGGATTCCTTGGTCCATTTCGGGGAAGTTGGGATCTTGATTACATTACTCATCACCATCCAGCAAGACATACACAGCCCTAGCGAAGGCGGCGGCCCTATAAATCATCTTCAGGGCTTCAATTCCCCATAATTTTGTGCTCAGTTTATCCCGATGTGTGCCAGCCTATTTCCCCAAAAATTGTTCAGGAACCTTATTGTAGGCAATGAATAGGCACTATTGCAGCCTTTCAAGCGCCTTGACAGCACTGCAGTCACACTCTCTGTGGACCATCTCTTCCGCTATGCTGACTCAAACATTTGAAATTTCAATTTCAATGATTGACCATATTGGCACCAGCCTAGGTCATTCCAAGGTTTGTGTGCAAAACCTTACTAGCCTTGATGAACAGGATAGATCAATGCTCTTGCAATAATCTAGGTCCCTCTTGGCCCTCAGACACAACATGCGCACACTTCCTGTTGAAATCCAAAAATCTGCGGCAAAGACCGCATCTTTTGCTTGGCGGATTCTTGTTTGAGCTTGGCTGAATCTTCAGTGCATACCAAACCACCTGTCAGCCATCTTTCCTAGAGACAACTCAGCTTGATACACGTCTTAAAAGGGTATACCCTTACGTAAGGCGAGCTCCCCGCACCCCGTTCTAAATCTTGGCATAAGTGAAAGCGGCGTATGTGCTTCTCTTAGCATATCTCGAAAACGGTAGCGCCGTTTTCCACGTTGAAGGAATCCACAGATGGCTATCGATATGGCGCATCGGAATTGTTTCGGTATATTTTGTGACTCGCAAGTTTTCGCGTCCGTTTTGCGATCCCAGTAGCGGACAAGACTTTTGGAACAGAGGTAGTGTGGCCATCAGAAAGCCCCAAAGCTGAATTTCTTGGGTGAGATATTTGCAAACATGAACGAACATGGCATTTTTACGTTAATTCGGCCATGGAGGACATGGAACCATGAGATTGTTATATTGCATAATGTGTGCCTCTGTCCACACCCACCGAATATTAACCAACGAGAGCGAAATAAATGGCACTGTTGTAACCAGAACTGATTGAGTATTTTTGAAAACTGAATGCATGAAGAGATAATGAACCAATAAGAACTGCATTAGAGACGAAATTGCATTAAAGACGTTGATGAACGGACTGAATATACAGGACAGAATGCCTGTTGTCCCTTTGCCTCGGCTGCAAACCATTGCTGTGGACTCGAGCGTACAATTGCCGTTGAGGGATCGCCACCCCTCGATCCTGCCTGCCTTCGTCAGTACCACCGCGACACGCTGAAACGGGCACAAATGGGATCCAGGTCAATGGAAACATTCACTAACATGCAAGTGCCTATATATAGGCACTTATATTATCATATATAGGCACTTACATTCACAATGCGAATATATAAGTGCGTATATATGTCATATATACGCACTTATATATTCGCATATATATTCACATATGTATTCACATTTATACGCATTTATATTCCCTTATATCAGGGAACAAAGATTGCCGGTTGGGTGCGGTAGAATGGGTGGAGGGCGAACATTGTTCCACGGCGTCGTCGCCATTGGTGAGGGCGAGGAGAGTGTGATGTGTACTTGCGGTGCTGCGGGAGGTGAAGAATTGACAGATTGCTCGAGAAAACCTGTAGCACGGTTGCATTGGTTCAGGGCGGTGTATGCATAAGCAAGGACGACAGGCTTATGATCCGAATCAGCGTGCGTTGCTAATTTGAATTGGCATGTCATAATGTGCATATTATACAATATGCATATATACACACGGATCTGGGGACAACTCTTCAGAGAATGCACTTTGAGAGGCTGCAGCAATCATGAGCTAGGTGCCCCCATGTATCCACCATGGATACCTGGCGATAGATTCCGGGGAACTCCACTGATCATGAATTCCACATGGAGAGTGCTCTCGCTTCACACGAGTCACGGATCCTGAGGTCAGGCTGAGAATCAATCTGAGGGTTTTTTGTCAGCAGGAACAGCAAGTCTTAGGCGCATGCTGGGAGATGGTTATGGGAATGGGAATGGAACGTACTCGGAGTCCGCTGACAAGGTAAGAAATTGTTGGCTGTGCCCTTGGGAACATTCAAGTCATCTGACAGTTGCTTCCTGTTAATGGAAGTTGTCCGTTGGAGGCATCTATCATTTGCGACCGCAGTTGGGCATGGTCAAGCGATGCCCACTCGAGCCAACCGGCCCACCAGGCTGCAGTGTTTTTGGTTGAAAGCGTTAAACCCCTGGGAGGTGTTGAGCCTGATCCATGTGCAGAAGCAAAATCCAGTCGTGACTGCATAGCCACGAGGTGCTGGGCAAGTGATCGCGTGAAGCATTTCCGGGAGGAAGGGGTAGGGGCCATTAAACATCTGCAATGACTGCATCAATGTGGCCACAACGGTATTGTTGCAGCGTGCAACAGCAATGGTGTGGGTGGCGACTCCGTAACGACTTCTAAAATGCAATCGCGGCAATACCCGTGTTCCATTTTTGTGACTCATTCCGTTGAGAAGTCCAACGCGGGCTTGCTCACGAACGCATGTACGTACGTGCGTGCTAGGTGCCAGAAAAGTCTGAAACTTACGTACTTACTCTGCTTCGGTGGCCGTCGTCCCTTCTCTCACGCACTGCTTACTCTGTATGCGCATTGTCATATAATTGTATGGAAAAACATTGAGAACATGAAATAAAATGGAACCGTTGCTTGCCGAAGCAATGATATGTGAAAGTGGAATGAACTGATGGATTACAGGTATAACCATTTGGCCTCCTCCAGCAGAAGTCCCCCCTTCAATCTACGCTTCAGGTATCATTGGATGGAGCAGCACTTTTTTCGTTGGATCAAACAAACAGCATTTTCTTGAAGAATACGTACTTCTTATTGCGAAATTACGAAAAGCGGAGACCATGGTCTTTCCCACATTGGTAAAACATATGTCATCAATGAATACACACAAAGGATCGTATTCCAAGGCCCGCAACTGGTTTGTGGACTAGGCGCCCGACTTTCAGGTCTTTCTATTTCAACTTTAGCCGCATTCCTAAAAATACTTTTGTCTATGCTTTTCCCGCTTGGATGCACAGAGGCTGTGGTACTCAGCGCAGCAGGGCGACCTCCGGGGGCTGCAGGCGGCCCTAGAAGACGGCGCCGACGTCAACGTCCGTATGTCGAAGTACCGCGACACGCCCCTGCTCATCGCCTCTTACCACGGCAACGTCGACTGCGTAGCAGCCCTTGTGGCGGCTGGAGCCAGGCTGAACGTGGTGGATAAGATCCACGGGGGCACGGCGCTGTTCTGGGCGTCGCAGGTACCACCGGCCCGGCTGCGTCGGTGACACCTTGGCAGTGGGAGTTCACCCGCGGAAATTGGCCATCACGAGTATGCCAATTTCGTGCTTAAATTTTCAAGTTGGTGGATAATAGCGAGTCAGAAGTGCAAATCACGTTAGACGCATCATGCCCCTTGTAGCCTGGCTTCTGTACCTCCAAACGTCTCTTGAGTACCTGAGTGCCTCTCTTAAGAACGGAAGAATCTGTCTTGTGCAATTCTGCTTTTAAAACCCCGTTGTTGTTTTCTGCGTTGTCCAAATGAGGAAGGCGGGCGACTCTGCACCGTTTCGCGTTGAACGCGACGACCCAATTGTCGGATAACCCCCGTTTCCGTACATGCAGGTCATGAAAGCCATTCCCAGGATTAAAGACCTGGATTCGAAGAGAGGAAAGCGTTTCCGAAGCCTTAGGCGATATCATTTAGCTAAAAGCCTGAAATCCTAACAGCCTAAGAGCCCCAAAACGCCTTAAACTCACGAATATTGGATGATAAGTAGGATTTAGGCCTATAGCTTCACAGACTCGTAGACTTATAGACCTGTGAACTTATGAAACTTATAAAACTTATAACTTAACTTTAGGCTTATAGGCCTATGGACTTGTAGGCTTTTAGCAGGATTTGGGTCGCTCGTGCCCGTCCTCTACGGCAGCCAGTTTGGCTCACCTCGTTCCACGCCGCGCAGGAGGGCCGCCTGGGCGTGGTGCACCAACTGCTGGCCGGGGGCGCCAGCGTCCACCACCCCAACGCCGACACCCACACGCCCTTGCAGGTCGCCTCCGAGGGGGGCCACGCCGACGTCGTGGACGCGCTCTTGGCCGCCGGCGCCGACCCAAAGTACAGCGACGCAGTGGGCGACACCGCCCTACATTTCGCTTCCGCGACCTTGGGGGAGCCCAGCGTGAGAACCGTCGTCTTGCTAATCGACGAAGGGGCTGAGATTGACGCGAGGTCGGGAGACGGAACGACGCCGCTGATGTGGGCCGCGGCGTTTGGAAACGTGCTGACGGTGAAGTCGCTGCTCGCGCACGGGGCCGACCCGGCGATTGTGGACTGGGGCGGGAGGGACGCCGCGGGCAGCGTGTGCCGGTGCCTGGCGTCGCGGGGGCGGCCGCTGCTGCTGCAGTGCCCGGCGGGGGGCTGCGAGGAGCCGGGCAAGGCAGAGGTGCTGCGGGAGTTGCTGCGGCGCTGAGGGCAAGTTAGAGTCCAAGTTGAAGCTTTTGCAGTCCCCGCCTGGTAAGACGAGGAGTAAGGAGCTCGCAAAGTAAACTGCAATGGCGCGTCATTGCATGGGATACTTGTACCGTACAAGTATGCCGTACACGTTCAAGTTGTACGTGCCCTTCAAGAGGCCCCCCGCTCCAGGGCAAATGTGGGTGCAGCCTTTTTCGGGCAGGGAAGAAATGATTTTCAGTCTCTGTGTGCGGCGCGGGGGCCAGGATTTGGTACAACAAGAGAAATATGCAGGTCATAAAAAGGGCACCCCCTCCTGGCATAACCCTTTCCTCCATGCAAAGGACACCTTAACAGCTGTGTTTCTGACGGGAAGTTCTGACCTGGGTGGGACTCTGGGGCGAGAAAGCTTGTTCCTAGAAGACTGCAAGTTTGTTGGGGCTCTTGTCCTTAAGGACCTTTAGGATCTTGGTCTTGTGTGGATATCGGCAGAGAACCCTTGGCCACGAGTGCGGAGAGGATGGCGAAGTGGTGCGTGGCAAGAGATGGGACTGTGCGCTGCGGCGTCGGGCACCCGCGGGCAGTCAAATTTTTGGGCGGGGTTTTGTTTGAGATGAGCAAAGACGCTGAAGTGTACGCTGGAAATGCGGTATGACCAGTGGAATTGCGTTGTATGGCGATCGGGAGTGTTATTTTGGATGTGTGTGGTCGAAGCCAGCAAAAACGCCGCCACGATTAGCTAGGCGAGGTTCACATGCTGTGGAATGTGTCGTTCTGGAAGGACACTTATGGCGGTTCGTTGTTGAAGTGGGCAATAATATTGGGCAACAAGAGGCCCACTCGAAGGGAAGAGATTGTGTACCTGAAGCATCGCTGGAGGTCCTTGTGGTCGCTGCTGAAACTCCTGCTTGGATAGCCTGCCGGAAATTGCGCGGGCGCAACTGGTAAGCTTCGGGTGCCCGTTTTGAAACCACCCAGAACTGTGAGATATGCACAGCTTTGTTCTATGCAAGCCTGCATAGAAGCCTTAAGGCTGCGCGTGGCAAGCTCCATGTCGATGGGAATGAGGAGACATCCCATGTTATGTTTCGAAGCGCCGCTCAGGAGATAGTAGCTCAAAGGGCATTTTAAGTGAAATTGGGAGCTCTCTACAGAAGGCAGCCAGATTTAGCAGCTCTCCCAGGACAGGAACTCCTGTACTTAACACGGCGGACACCGTTTCCTTCACTTGCAGCGTTGCTGAGAGGACCATCTAATCCAATTACGGGAGGTGATTTTTGGGTGCGCGTGCGAAGTACACGCGCTTGGGCGCTGGACGAATGCAAGTGCCGAATCGATATTCACTGAAAGGGTGACCACCGAGAATGTGCGAACTGCTTCCGGAATCGAAGGAGCGGAGGGGATTGAAAACGCTGAAAGAACTGAGGGCGATTGGGCAGTGAATCGAGTTTGATGAATCAAATCGACGGGCTTCTGAAAAGAAGAATATTTCCGATTATTTAATTGATCTTCCGTCTTGTGCATTCCAAGCACGGCTAGAAATTGGTGCTGCTGTGCGCAACTGTTTACGCATACATAGGTGGAAAGTAAATTTGAAAGCATCTTTAGGAATTCTTGGCCAAAACCGGCCCAAAATCAGGCACGACCGGAACAACGTAATAATTTTAAACAATCTTGTCTGAAAAATTCTTCCACTTTGCCATTCAACGATTGGGAGTGCCCTGCACGCCGCAAGAACTTCACAGGGAGGGCATGCCTGGTTCCTGATTCGCGGGAAAGCAGTCTTAGGGCGGGGCAGGACTACAGAGAGGTAAGTCTATGAAGTGCTCCTCATCTCACAGCCTGGATGCGAACCTGCCGTATTCAGGGTATGGTCTGTTCATATCCATACCATGGATGTGGAAAATCTTAGTGAGGGTCCTGTTGAAACCTGCTAACGATTGCATTTAAGGCAATCGGTTTTCATGTGAAACGTGAGGCG